GGGGTCTGCCACGCCTCCTTCTGCCTGTTACATACATTTCAACAAAACCATTATACCCTGATTTCCCATTGAAAATGGGTTCAGGGTATAAAAAAAAAAAAAATAGAATGTTGCAGTGGGGTGTTACCAACTAGAGAATACTCATTCACATCCCATCAGCAATTTAGCAGCTAAGTTTAGCTCTGATACTGTAGAAAATGCAGTTTTTCCCGATTGGCCACGCCCCTACTAGGCGTAGACACTTCATTTATTACCAGTTCTTAAAACGAGCTGAAGTTAACGTGCCTGCAAAATTTGGAAGCCTATGCTCCAAAAATATGAAAATTATCCGCCATAGCTTTTTGGTCTTGGGAGGTCAGCCCGAGTATATATATCATATTTCAGGTCTCTAGCATCAATACTGCCCAATACCTAAATTTGTACAATGCGTATTTGAACTACTGGAGTCTTGTTTGGAAAATATACGCATGTCATCGTTTTAATCATGATCTGAAAATTGCATGAAGATATTCACGCAAGTGTTGTTCCTTGAGTAAGCGGAAAAGTATTAATTTCTCGAAGGCCTCAGGAGATCTCGTAGTCGATCACTCTCAACTAGAGATTTCTAACTTTCTATATAAAATTTGATATTGTTCTTACATATATATATATCTTTCTTTTTTTTTTCATTTTAGTTACTTTTCTTCTAAGGACTCCGGATAGAGCAGGATAGCTATTAAAGTACAGAGAAGTAGAAAGAGTTTCATGGAGCAAAAATGGAACTGTTTTTAGATGACTGTAGCTGATTGAATTTGTAATGGTATTAAAATAAATATTTAAATTGTTCTTACATAAATCGCCATTGGAAGACCAAATTGCCATCTGCCTGAGATTATAAAAGCAGATAATTAAATAAAAGCATTTATTTCTATTCATTATATAACCATTTCGAATGCAGTCAGACACACTCAAGAATATCGCTATATAAGCTCAACCTAATTTGATATTCTACATAGTTGAAGAAGACTAAATCTCAAACATGAAGCTCGCACTGATTCTTGTGGCCGCTTTAGCAGTCGCTTCACGACCACCTCATCCGTGGCAAGTCCCTGGCAGCGGTTAGGTCAGCACGGACTCATTCCCAAAAGTTTTCCGATAATAAAAGGGTTTGAATATTATTTTGTTGTGAATTGTATTTCATTTTTGATTTTATTGAAAGCCCTTACAATCTTATCATAGGTCAAGTACAGAGATGTCATTGGTCGAACACACCTTCTATATTAGCTACATCAGTTAGGATGAATTGATGTGTATCTCAAAATTAAAAAAAAAAAATAAAATAAAAGATTGAGTATTTGCAGTTTTGATACAGAGAATTATTATTAGTATTTTATTAACTCCATGGGAGTATCCTTGCCTCTTGCAAATTTGAGGCTTCTAGCTCGTAAATTGCAGGAGATATAAACTTTTGCGGTTTGCCACGCTTCCTGTGGGCGGACATAT